GTTTCCTCCGTACACGACGTCAGAGCGTCGATAGAGACCGATTACCTCTATGTGTGGGAGACTTTCTGAAAGAAAGAGAAAGAAAAAGAAAGAGAGAGAGAGAGAGAGAAAGGAGGGATATACGAGGGCCGCCCACGTTGCTGAGACTTTTCATCAGGTTTATTCACTTCTATCGATATCTCTCTCTCTCTCTCTCTCTCTCTCTCTCTCTCTCTCTCTTTCTTTCTCTCTCTTTCTCTCTCTTCTTCTTTCGTCGATCTCTTAAATTATCTTTACTTTAGATATCATCTAGAACTCTCATTCTTATCTTGTTAATTTTAATTGATATAAATATATATTTATATCAAATTAAATTAAAAATTAATTAAATTAATTTAAAAATTAAATAATAAAAAAAAATATATATATATATATCAATTTAATTGATATATATTTATATCAATTTCGTTATCTCTCTAAGGTATTTTCTAAGTTCGTTTTTTATATGACGACATAATTACTTAATGATTTGATTTATATCACGAAATAATTGTCAATTCGTAGAAATTTATAGGATATTATGAAAATAATATAAAGATATTATTATTTGAAATTAGAATTTCAATCATATCGCCGAAAAGAATTCTCGATGAACTTTTTATAAAAGTTATTATTTCATTTGAAATATGAAATTATCGTTGATATTTTGATTTTATTAGTTTAACTTTTACGAAATATATATATATATATATATATATATATATATATATATATAGTCTATTTGCATTTTATTAATTATTAAACGTTTTATTAATTATTAATTATTAATTATTAATAATTTTATTAATTATTGAATATTCGAATTGTTAGATGAACAGATAAGATGAAATATAGTAATCGAAGATTAATCTAATTAGATCGTTATAACGAGTGATGATCTTAAATCGGTACTAACAAAGTTGAAATATTCGAAAATTAATAGATCAATGGATTGATTAATAGAAATATATTCCTTGAAAAATAATATATTAATAAAAATAAATTCTTCGTTTTGACAAAATATTCGAAATTTGTTAATTATTGACGAAGAATATATTAAAAAAATTTATCTGAAATTTATAAAACAAATGGCGTTTCATTGTGTTCCAATTTAATTCGTACAAAAACATATATGATTTTTTGCATAAACATTGCATAATCAATGTGAAATCTAAAAAGTTTGGAATTTTTATGAGAACACGTAAGATTATATAAAAAAAAAGAATGAAAGAAAAAAAGGACAAAATAATCAAAGACAATCTAAGAGGATCGTAAGATAACAAAGAAATAAGATTGATCATCTGTAGCAATGCGAATTTTTTAATTTTAACAAATTATACAAATAATATAAAATTCAAGATCAATGTTAAATATAAGAAAAAAGAAAAACAAAATTCATTTTTAATTATTACAAATCGAAATTTTATTTGATCCTTATAAGAAATACCTCTCTGTGTCTTGTGTGTGTGTGTGTGTGTGTGTGTGTGTGTGATGTATATTTCAATAAAACTTAAATTAATACGAAACATTATTAATATCTAAATTTTGAATCAACGTAATCTAGAAAGTATCAAATTTTTCAATTATTATAACATTTTATTGGCATATATTAGAAAAAAAAAAAATAATCATGATGGATCATTATAAAGTGAGAAAAAGGATCGAAATAAATTTATACATGCGATCATAATTAACAGATCAATCTCATAATCACAAATTGTTGGATATCTTGAAAGCGATAATAAATAATTTTCGAATGAAAGAAAATAAAATAAAATAAAATAAATGTAAATACGTGATAGAAAATTAAAATGACAAACTTCCTTAAATCTTATCATCGTTATCATTTCGTATCAAAGTAATGTGTCATATGTTTTTTTCTGTTTTTTTTTTTTTTTTTTTTTTTTTTTTTCATTTCAAACTTTTATACAGGTATTTCACAATGATTACTTCTTATGTGAAACTCATAATGTACTTTAATCTGAACATAGTATCAACGCGACTTAGAAAATATTAAGACCGTGTAATTATTAGAAAGCGCATGTAAGAATGGAGAGGAAAAAAAAAGTAAAAGAAAAAGGATCATTGATTTTTTTTTCTCCACGTAAAATTTCAAATTCCAAGAAATATTTTCGAATATAACGATTTTAAAATTTGAAACGAGTTATATGACCTTCGACATAAAAGTGAAAAAGAATAGAATTAAGATAGTTTTATTCGATCCTTATAATAGATTCTATCATTTTGAATGTAATAGATTTATCTAATAATTTAAAGTCGATCAATTTCTTTGAAAACATCGAATCCGAAAGAATATTATCAAATGAAGTGATATTAAACTACGAGAAAGAGTGTGATACGTTTGTCATAAAAAAAAAAAAAAAAAAAAGAAAAAAGAAGAAGAAAAAGATGAAATGAAATGGAAACAAACTTTTATTCGATCCTTATCACAAAACGTTATCATTCGATTTAAAATATTCATTCGATTTTTTTTTTTATTATAATATTTTTCCCTAAGATTACATATCGTCTCATAATATATATTGAATATCGACGTTAAGATATAATTTTAGAGTATATTAAGAAAACAATTTTTTTTTTCGATTAATTATAATTAACCTACATACACACATATACACACACACACACACAGACACACACATATATACATATACACACGTAAAAGAAGAAAATAGAGAAATAAAAGAAGAAATGAAGAAGAAGAAGAAGAAAGAATAATCCAAAAAGACGATGATCTTAACGATGTAAAAGAAAAGAAAAGAGAGAAAGAGAAAGAAAAAGAGAGAGAAAGAGAGAGAGAGAGAGAGAGGAAAAAGAAAAGCAAACAACAATAACAATAGCAAGAAAAAGTAAAACAAAAAAAATAGAAGAAAAGAAAAGAAAAGGAAAATGGAAAGATCGACCAACAACAACAACAACAACAGCAACAACAATAAAGAAAAAAATAGAAGCAATACGAAAGGAAAAGGTCGAACAACAACAACAAGAACAATAAAGAAAAAAATAGAGGCAAAACGAAAAAGAAAAAAAAAAAAAAAGCGAAGAAAAATAAGAAAAAAAAAAAGGAAAGACCGACCAACAACAACAACAACAACAGCAACAGCAACAACAATAAAGAAATAAATAGAAGCAAAACGAAAAAGAAAAAGCAAAAAAAAAGAAAAAAAAGAAAAGAGGAAAGAAACGAAAGAAAAGAAGAAGGAAAGAAAAGGAAGGAAAAGGAAGAAAAACCAGAAAAGATCGAACTTGGATTAGGTATCTCTATCGGCACGGATTCCGCAATACGACGGTAGTCCGATAGGCTTGGCGTGTGTACAGGTTAGCGAGAGAGGGCCCCCATACAGGTATTATACGCAAGCTCTTTGTCGAGTACGGAGGGTGGGGGAGGGAAGGGGTTATATTGGCGCCACCTCCTGCACGGTTAAGCGAGCGACTAGGGCAGACTTACGCCTTACGCCTCTCACTCTCACTCACTCTCTCTCTCTCTCTCTCTCTCTCTCTCTCGATCTCTCTTCCCCACCCTTTCCTCTATCACACTCGCACATACGATCCCTCCCTTCCTCCCACCCTTCCTCTTCTCTTTCTCACTTACTCTCTCAATCTCTCTCTCTCTCTTTCTCTCTCTCTCTCGTTTCCCCTTCCCCTCCGTCGCACCTCGACCCTCTCACGATCCCTCTCCTCTTCTCTCTCTCTCTCTCTCTCTCTCTCTCTTTCTCCCCCTCTCTCTCTCTCTCTCTCTCTGATGCTGCAACTCCGGCTCGGCTTACCCAACCTAACCCGCGGGCCAACTTCATTCCACGCCGACTGACCACCACCGACGGCCGTCGTCGCCGTCCTCGACGCCGTCGTCGTCGTCGTCGTCGTCGTCGTCGCCGTCGCCGTCGTCGTCGTCGTGGTCGTCGTCGTCGTCGTCGCCGCAACCGCCGCCGCTAACGCCGCCGCCGCCGCCGCCACCGCCGCCGCCGCCGCCGCCACCGCCGCCGCCGTCGTCGTCGTCGTCGTCGTCGTCGTCGTTGCCACCGCCGCTGTCGTCGTTGTCGTTGACGTTGTCGTCGTTGTCGTTGTTGTAGTCGTTGTCGTAATCGTCGTAGTCTTCGTCCTTTTCGTAATTGACACGTTTAAACTATTTCCTTTAAACTATTACCATCGGTACCAATAATATCCTCGTTATTACTTCCCGACCAATTCGCGAATTATCCTTAAACTCGTTAATATAATATATAATCGTATCGATAATAATAAAACAACGAGGAAGAAGAAGAAAAAGAAGAAAAAGAAGAAGAAGAAGAAGAAGAAGAGGAAGAAGAAGAGAAAGAAAAGATAGAAGAAGAAGAAGAAGAAGAAGAAGAAGAAGAGAAAGAAGAAGAAGTAGAAGAAGAAGTACAAGAAGAAGAATATAAATTTATACCGGACGCGTGAGAAATTGTCCTTTTTAATTAGTTTCCATTTTTCTCTCCATTTTAATCCTTGTGTTCTTTTTCTATTCGTTCGTTCGTTCGTTCGTTCGTTCATTCATTTGTTTATTTTTCTATATTGTTCTTTTCTTTTTTGCTCTCTCGTTCTATCCTTCTTTCACGGTGAATCTCGTGAGTTACATCGGTCAGATTACATCGTTTCGCGGACGACGATTACGGATACGATACGATACGATACGGTACGGTACGGTACGATACGATCTTTCGGATATAATCGCGTGCGCGCGAGCCGCGAGTGTGATCATCGTCATTCCCGAAGAAGTTTCTTCATTTTCGTTTCTTTTCTTTTTCTTTTTTTCTTTTTTTTTTTTTTTCTTTTTCTTCTTTCTTTTTTTTGGGGGGGGGCAGGGTTTTTCCTCAGGGGACGGGGTTTCGTTTATTTCGGTTTTTTTTCCTTTTTTTCTTTTTTTTTTTGTTTTTGTTTTTGTTTTCGTTCTTTAGTGACTGTGTAAAGATTGAAAAGAGTGGGTGGGTAGGTGGGTGGGGGATAAGGAAGGTAGGATCTGCTACGGGAGGTGTCACGGATTAAAAAAAAAAATAATAATAATAATAGAAAAAAATAATAATAATAATAATAATAATAATAAAAAAGGACGTGTTTTTTTGTCGTTTCTAATATATCGTATTCTCTGTGAAGAAAAGAGAAAGAGAGAGAGAGAGAGAGAGAGAGAGTGAGAAAGACAGATAGACAAACAGATAGAAAGAAAGAAAGAGAAAGAGAGAGAGAAAGAGAGAGAGAGAGAGAGAGAGAGAAAAAGAGAGAAAGAGATAAGAAGAGGAACGCATCATGGACATATCAGAAGATTGTTGGGAGCACGTGGGTCTCCTTCAGGAAGTCTCCCCCTCGGAACCAGCTCCACCACCACCTCAACCAGACTTCCTCATTCAGCAACAGGAGGTAAGTCCATCTTTCATATCTTATCTTATCTTTTCTTCTTGTTGTTGTTGTTGTTGTGGTTTTTTTTTTTTTTTACTTCTCCCCAATCCCTTCCCTTGATTATGATCATTTCCAAGATCCCATTTGATAATTCGATTTGTCATAATTGACGAATTTAATAGATCGTTTACAATTTCGAATTGATCGCTGTATCTGTTGAAATAAAAAAAAACAAAAACGAAAAAAAAAAAATAAATAAATAAATAAATAAATTGTTTCAGAATTTATTAAATTTTAAATATTACTCTTTCTCAATTTATCCTATTGAAATATTTTTGTTTTATACGTTATCATTGATTATGCTCCTCGTCGATCATTCTCGTCGTTATATTTAAAATCGTGTTGTTCAATCAAAAATAAAGAAAAAAAAAAAAAGTATATAAATAATTTGTAAAAGATCTGTCTGATCTCTGATCAAATCGATTATCATAATAAAATCATGAATTAGATATTATTTCGTTCGAATTAAATGTAATTTAAACGTTTATCCGATAAATTAAAACGCTCCTTATACACATACACACACACATACACACACATATGTATATATACATATATAATTTAATTATGACGCGTCTTTCGTATTTTTTTTTCTTTCTTTCTTTCTTTCTTTCTTTCTTTCTTTCTTTCTTTCTTTCTTTTTTTCTTTCTTCGTTTTCTTTATTTTTTCTAATTAGAAAAAATCAATTACGTCATATGAAATATAAGTAACGATAACTCTACGATCGTTTTCATTTTATTTCATTTCAATCTAATACAAACATTTTCACGATACGAAAGACGGGAACATTTTCACGATGAAATCTTCTGTTGTTATTGCTCTTACGTTGTTTACATGAACGTCAGCTACTTAGAATTCATGGAAATTACATACACACATACATATATATATATATATATATATGTATATATATACACACGTACATAGATATTCTTACGTTCATCAATATTTCCACCTACGAGTGGATATATAATTATCCTTCAAAGAAATTCGCCGACGATTTTTCTTTAGCCGTTATACAGTATATATGTATGTATATATATATATATATATATATATATACATATGTATATACGTATATGTATCTATGTAGGTACTCAAGAAAACACTTAAACCGTTCCAACGCGGAAGATAATACTCGTATCGTTTCGAGGACTAATATCTAATTAGCATAATACACTTTAGAATATCTTAGATGCATTCGCGAACATATTGGAATTTTCCCGCGCGTGGCCTAACTTACGCATATACGTAAGTAAGTACGTAAGTAGTTAAAAATTATTTGCACATTTTTCATTTGCGTTAAAGAATATCACGATATCGTACTTAATTTACGTGTCTTAGTCAATCGAAAGAAAATCTTTTTTTTTTTTTATCTTCAATTATTCTACGATTCAAAAGATTTACGAATAAATCGATCGTAAATTTATACGTCAGATAGATCAGATCTTTCTCCTTCTTTTTCTTCTGTTATTTTGTTTCTCTTTTCTTTTCTTTTGTTTCCCTTTTTCTTTTTTTTTTTTTTTTTTTTTTTTCTTTTTCATAAATACTGTAAACCTTTTACACGTTCTCATAATACGACGCACAAGAGATAAATATATATATACGTATATAATAATGTTCAAAGAGATTACAAACGATTATGACTTTTCGATTATGCTCGAATGACTTTCATTAAATTTATACGATATCATAATCATTTTAGGATAAATATATTCGTTCTTATACTTGATATATATTATACGATAACAATATACACACACACACACACATATATAATATATATATATTATATATGTATATTTCAAAAGAAAAAAGAATTTTATTTTTCGATAATTATAGAAAATATATGCGATATAATTATCTGTATATAGTTATAATAATAAATCCGTATATCTTTCTCTAATTCCTTGAGTTTTTGATTGGTCCGTAATAACAAAGAGCAGCTGGCCATATCGATTCGGTTCTATATATCTCTCTGTTTGTTCAAGCAAACGAATCGATAATGATCATACCATAAAACACTATCATTAAACGTTGATCGACAGAGGGTGTAAGATTTAGATGTGCTTTATACGTATACAATGTTCTCTTCGAAATAAGAAAGAGATGAATAGATATATGTATTATGAACAGAAAAAAAGATAGAAGGACAAACAAACAAACAGAATGGAAACGAAGAAAAAGAGAGAGAGAGAGAGAGAGAAACGGATTATTACAATGTGTATGTAAAAATAAAAGAGAGAGAGAGAAAGATGGAGAATAGAAGAAAGAATTGTCGAAGGATCAAGAACTGGTTTCATTTCAATCTTGTAAGTCCCGTATAACGAGTTACAGATGACGATAGAGAAAGAGAGATAGAGATAGAGATAGAGATAGAGATAGAGATAAAGATAGAATGAGATAGAGGGAGAAAGAGAGAGGATATATTGAAGGTATCCAAAAGGTAGGGCGTTAGTTATGGTGCCCTGTAATCACATAAGAAATTATAGGTATTTAGTCGGTGCGCATGAATGAGTGGGATAAAGAAAGTTTAAGGAAGAAGATATCGATGGCATCGGGCGCGTGCAGCCTTCGCGAAACACCCTAACTCCTTCTCAAGGCCCCTTATCCCATCCCAACCAATCTCATCCCACTTTATCCTATCTTACCCCATCCACCCCTTTTTTTCTTTCCTTTTGTTTCTTCTCTGTTTTTTTTTTTCTTTTTTTTTTTTTATCGAACCCTACACACACCGATCATGATTCGTAGGGCCGCTTCTAGGTATAACCTACCTGCTTTTGCTTGCACCTGCTTGCTTCGCGCTCAGATTCGTTCTCGATATTTTAACCTTCTCGCAAATTTCTCTCTCTCTCTCTCTCTCTCTCTCTCTCTCTCGATTTCTCGTTCGCGTTCTCGTTCTCGTTCTCGTTCTTTTTATATCTATCTGCTTTCCGAGACACCCCAATATCGACGTTAATTCCTTCGTACGTAAGATAATGGTGCCGCAATAATGTGTTGCGGCAACGCGATCAGCTGCTTGCTTATGGACA